ATAAGACAGGACAAAAGGCATAAGATTAGAGGAAGGAGATAGCCATCTCTCTTCAGGGAGCTGCCTATGAGGTGGGTAACCTGTGAAATAAAGTCAGTCTGGCCTTAAAATAAAAATAAAAAGGGGGATATGTGGGGACCTAAAGGCCCCACCTTGCATAGGTCCGAAAGGAAGTTACTGGGGGCACGGCCTGGCTTGCTTTGAAAGTCTGAAGAATATTTCCGCACTGCTGAGGAGTACATGATCAGCGCATGACCATCCTTAAGATACACCCTCATGGGGGCGGGAGTTCCAGGAGCCTTTATAAGCTTCGAAACACCTGCAATAAATGAGTCCCTGCTTGACTAGACTCCCCATTGCATCTGAGTGTCCCCGGGTAATGGGGGCAGTGTGGGCTGGTGAACGGCGTGTTTACCCATCCCCAATCATCACCTCTCCGGGGGTCACTGGTTCGAACCCCCACAGGCAACTGATTGCTGCTAGATGAAGAAGAGTTGCTCTTCCTAAAACAAGGGACTCTAGATAGACTCAGCGAATGGACTTGCACTGGGGAACAGCTGGGGCCACTGACAACACAGTGGACAGGGATGACTGAGTATATGGGCTCCAGTGGTGGTGGTGGGGCTATGGGAGGGTGCCAGTGGGGATTGGGATTATAAAGATGATTAAGATTGTTTGAGATGTTCTGTATGAAATACACACACACACACACACACACACACACACACACTCAAAAGAAAAAAGATCACCCCCTCCAGAGACTGTCCTCCCTCAGATTTAAAAAAAAAAGAAAGAAAAAGAAAAAGAAAACAAAAAGAAAACAAAATCACCCACCCAAACACTTTCCTTTTCATTTTTTAAATTGAGTTTTACTTAATTGGTGTTCAAAGGTTGGTTACTGAAGTCCAAGCTCTCGTAACTACAGAGGTAATGACTAATCTGTCCCCACTTTCTCATTCCGTTGCTTTCTTGTTTGAACCAGAAGATCTGTTCAAGGTTTGATGCTCAGTCACGCCTGATGCTGACTCTGCTTCTGATGTCTTCTTTCTATAGGAAGCTGCTGACTGTCCTCCCTATGAGCGCTCTTCTTGCGATATGAGAGTTGAAGCGGTTATTCTGAGCTTTCTTGCTAAGGCAAGCATCAGAGCTCCTGTAGACCTTCTCTTTCCTGTGAGTCGTGCCTTCTCTTTCTTGCACAGTCTGCTTATTACTTTCTACTTTGTCTGCTTCCACTGATTTCTGATTCTTCCTGTCCTGCTCACAGAGTACTTGCGTCGGCTTCTCCTGCAAGGTTCCAGTTTCGAGGAGATGTAATTCACTGAGTATCTCGACTCTCTGCTGTAAAATCCGGCATTCGTTCTCCAGCAGGGTCGAGATCAAATGCAGCAAGTGTGTGTCCTGGCTCAGCTTCCTCACCTGAGCCTCCAGATCCTGTTTAGTTGACACTTCATTATTTGGCTGGATTTGGAAGTAGGCTCCATTGTTTTCAAGAATTTCTCCTCCTTCTTTCTGGGATTTCTGAAACAACTTCATTAGTTCACTGAGCTCTCTGTGCTGTTTATTCCAGTGATCTGCTTCTTGGAGCAAGTGATCCATGTTGTTCCTGAGTTTTCTACATTCTCCATGGACATGATAGGATCCGTATCTTCCCGTTTCCATACTCAGCTGCGTTTCATTAAAGCCTCTCATCTCTTCTGAACTGCCCAGATCCCTAGCATACCATTGCACTGTGTTCTTACTGTTCTTGTGTTTCAGTGTCATCTTCTGTTTCTTGGCATTCTGTTCTCTCTCTCAGTCTAAACCAATGAGCAGGTTTTTCAGTCGAATTGTACTCCTTCTCTCAGATCCTCTGAACTTTCCAGGTTCTGACATGTCTTGAGAAGTGCTGGCATCATCAAAAGGTTCTCTGACTTCTGTAGTCTTCTCTTCAAAGTCTGCTATATTTTTAAGAACATCTTTAACTTCTCTTAAGAGATTGCTAAATTTATGTGCAACCCTGGCTCTTACTACAGGGCGACTGCTATTTGGCAAAGGGAGGGAACCCCGGCAGGAAAGTGGAAGTGATCAGTTTCGAGCAGAGAAATGGTGATACCAGGGTTTGGTGCCACTTGTGGAAGACCAGGAGTAGGGTTAGGGGTTTGAGATGGGATGGGCACCTCAGCTGTGTCGTCAGAGCCTGCCATCAGAGCTGGAGCAAAGCAGAAAACCTTAGAGATTCCAGGAAGAATGTGTGATGGTCCTGTGGAGGAGATGGAACCAAGCAGGAGTCAGAGACCAGAGTTAAGGACTAAAACCAGGGAGATGATGTTCAGGTGGAAGGTGCCATCTCAGAGAGCCTGGGGGAGGGGGTGGGAAAGGGGGCCAGGAGCTGGGGCTCCATCTCCCTTCTGTTAGGCTTCTGGTGTTTATTCCCTGGTCCTAGTAACTAGGTCTTTATTCCGTCACTTGCCCCGCTGTGACACGTCCCCACATTCTGTTTCCTTTGTGTCACAATGAAAGCCTCTTAAACTCCTGCCTACCACCCAGGCATCAAAAAGATCACTACAACAGTTCTTCCCACCTCTTATCTGCTAGGCTTAGGTTCATTCTGAAGGCATTTTGGTGATATACCACATCATCCTACCACCACCACCATGACCACATAGTGCCAAGGTCAACTAAGTGTGTTGTAGTCCACCCAAGAGCATGGATGAGAGAAATCCTGCCTGTTGAGGTGCCCATTCTCACACAGAAGGGGGCATTATTGCTCCTGTTTAGGAGATACTGTTGTAAAAATAGACCCCCCACAGTGCATCATCTTTAGTGATCTTAGGCAATTCCAGGAATCCTCCCATTCAAAAATATGCTATTAGATGAGAAGATGATCACAAAGAGTCAACAACACAATTACAAATTGGGACTGTGTGTGTGTGTGTGTGTGTGTGTGTGTGTGTTGCTGGGGAAAGAACCCAGTATCCCCAATCCTCAAATTGGGAGGTTTGGGTTTTTTCTAGAGTGGGGGTGGGGTGGGGTGGGAGGTTTTTTAGCATCCTTTAAGATAGGCTTACTGAACTTTTTCATGACTCTTACAGTCAGTGATATAAAATTTTGCTACTTTTCACAGTACCTAAAAAAAAAGATAATTTGTCCAAAGCATTTGAAATAGCTCAATCCAACCAGGACTTGTATAAAAGAAATGGAACAACTTGAGCTTGCGGAGATGGCTCATTGGGTAAGACCACTTGCTTGCAAGCATGAAGATCTGAGTTCAAATCACAGGCACCCACATACAAAGCAGGGCATGGCTATGCGAGCCTGTGACCCCAGCACTGCAGGGAATGGAGACAGGAGTGTTACTGGGGCTTGCTGGCTAGCTCTAAGGTCAGTGAGAAGCCCTGTCTCAAAGGAATAAGGTGGAGTATGATAGAACAGCACATCTAGCACATGCCTCTGGCCTCTGCACTCACACGGGCACATCACCACACATACACGTACCACACACACATTCATACACGTACATACAAAATAAATGGAATAATTTGAGGCCTGGAGTATTCTTGTCTTTTAGCCCTTAGGCACCAGGATCTTGAGGATATTAAACTCAAAGAATGTCTTCCTTGGATGAGACTCTTGCTACCAAATACTCTGCTAATGATATTTCATTCCAATTTTAAGGAAAAAAAAAATCCACATTTAATGTTTTCCCCCATTAGAGAAGAGGAATTTATACATTTTTGTTTCTCCTTCCATGGCTACCACATCAGTTGTAGTTTCTCTGAGCATTGTGCTCCCTTCAAGTCACTGGGACTCAGAGCCAGAGCTACTACAAACTCACATTCAGCAGGGCCTGGGTTTTTTTCTTTTTTTTTTTTTTTTGCTTGAAAGAATACCTTTTCTAACTCATATAGTGCTCCAGAGGTAAGAGGTTGACTCTCATCTCCCCTTTAGCTGGAGAATTATTTGTCTCTTATCATTTATGAAGTCCTGAGTTTGAACCAGAGAGAGAGAGAAAGAGAAAGAGAAATACCACACAAGAGAGTTATTATTTACCTTTTGGTCTAATATGTTGTCAGTGCTAATTTTTAAAATTTTTTATTTATTATTTTTAATTTATGTGTATGCGTGTATTGCCTGCATGTAGATAAGTGTACCCGTGTTGTGCAATGCCTGCAGAGGCCAGAAGAGGCTGTTGGATTCCCCTGGGACTGGAGTTACAGACAGTCGTTAGCTGCCATGTGGGTGCTGGGATTTGAACCTGGGTCTTCTGCAACAGCAATCAGTGTTCTTAACCCCTGAGCCAACTCTCCATCCCCCTCAGTGCTAATATTTTTAAATGTGTTTTATATGTTTGGGTATCTCTTTGTATATGTACACATGTGTGCAGTGCCTTTGTAGGCCAGAGGAGAGTGTCAGGGCCCCTGGAATAGGAGTCATAGACTTTTTTGAGTTATCATGTGAGTGTTGGGAACTAAACTGGGTCCTCTGCAAGAGTGGCCAGTACTTCTAACCACTGAGCCATCTCTCCAGCCCCAGTTTGACTAATTTCTAATCACTAACTTGAAGTTATTCATTTTAGGCAAAAATATCACAGAAGTGGTATGACCACAGTGTGTGCATGATGTCAATATGCCTTACATCTAGTGAGGTTAAACTTGATGACATCATTTAGATGAGGCTGCCAAGTCATCTGATATACAGTTACTTTCCCTTTGTAATTAACAAACATCTTGGGGGAACCACCTTGAGTCTATGCAAATATCCTGTTTCTCCACATACTTTAGTACTGATTTTAGTGCCCATAGCTGAATCTAGCCTATAATTATTATAGTAATCCTTTTACATGTATTATGAATTATTTGGTAAAGAAGCACTGCCTCTTCTCCCTTACTAAATTATTTGTCCGTTCCATTATTCATTCAATTATATATTTATATAAGCATGGATTTTTAAATGATAAAATTATTTGAGTTAAAACACAATACTATTTGAGTAGGGAGATGACTGGGTAAAAATGCTTGCTGTGAAAGCAAGTGAACCTAGGCTCAAATCCCTAGCACTCATGTAAAAAGCTGGGTATGGCCATATACGTCTATAACCTCAGCATTGGGGGGATGGAGATAGGTGGATCCTGGGAGCTCTCTAACTAGCCAGCCTAGCTGAAGTGGAAAGTTTCAACTCCAGTGAGAGACCCTTTATCAAAAACTAAGGTGGTAAACAATAGAGGAAGACATCTGACATCCTCCTTTGGCCTATACTATGGATACACACACACACACACACACACACACACACAATCTCATGCATGCAACCACCATTTACCTTCTTGTTCAAATATCCATGGGTAATTTGAATGTTTTGGGGAAATTTTGGAAAAATAAAGCATATTTTTGTTTTCTGTAATAGTTTAATAGTTTTTTTAACCAAACAATCTGATTGGTGATGACTATCAAGGGTTAGAGTCTTAGGTTCACAAAGGATGCTGTGCAAGTGTGATTTTTTAGCATCTCAACTTATATTGTGCCTTTAGATGTAATTGTGTGTTTATATGTAGCCATTTTAGAGGCCTTTGAAAATTGAACATTTTGTTGAAAAAAATATAAATAGTTGTGGCTAGTTACTTCTCTGAACTTTTTCCTCTTTGACCAGCAGGTGACACTATAGACCTTAAAGTTTACTGTAGAGAATAGAGTCCCAGACAAGAGAAACAAAGAGAACAGTGAGACTGATCCCTGGTGTGATGAGTGGAATCTCAGAAATGTCCTCATTCACAGTGCAAATTTTTCAGGGCTTCAGAGTGTCAATTCTAAAGGATTTGGACAACATTACAACTAGTTATAAGAGTCTGGGTCTCCTGCCTTGTTTAAGTTTCGGGAGAGGCAGTTTTTGAGGAGCAGGAGGCTGTGGAAACATTTTTAATACCTGCTAAGTGTTCGGCAGAAGAGCGTTCTGTGGAAGAGCAGGTTTTCAGTGCGGCTGGGATTGGCTGGTTTTATAAGTATGTTGGGCAAACAGGTCGTGTAATGCAGAAACCAGTTCTACTGAAGAAAAACACTAGGCCAGAGATTTGTGAGAAACTAGCCTCACAAAGTTCCACTAGAAGCAACAGTTCAGTATTTGTAGAGACCAAAAAAATAAAAGCAAAATCCCTCAGGCTTTATCAACAGACCCTGACTACTTGGAGTCTGACCCAGTGATTGTGATGTCTTATTCAAATATTCAAAGCCTGACTCCTTACAACCTCCCGGAGCCTCACCCCAAGCTCCCAGTCTCAGAAAGAACAACTAACTGATACTATAAAATTTACTATTTAAGATAGTGAGATGCCCACTTATCTCCAGATATGGACTCCACACACAAATGGCACATGAGGTAAGACCAAGTAAGTTTCCTGCACTGTTAGAAAGAACTCCCATTACTCTGAAGGGGTGATCTCTCTCTCTCTCTCTCTTTCTCTCTCTCTCTCTCTCTCTCTCTCTCTCTCTCCCCTCTCTCTTCTCTCTCTCTCCTATCTCTCTCCTTTCTTTCTCTCTTTCTCTCTGTGGATTATCTTGCTATTTCTCCTGCATATATTCTTTATTAAATCTTTTTATATCAATTTTGGTAACCACTTTTGCCATGAGCATTCGGCTGGTCATTCCCAGCATCACAGTATTTGCTGGTTAACTATTTAAGGTGACTTTACAGAACATAACCAAATGAAAAAATAGACCATGTATAGGAATCAATTCAGTAAGAGAAGTTTAAAACTTATATTCTGGCCAGACGTGGTGGTGCATGCCTTTGGTGTCAGCACTCAGAGACAGAAGCTGGCCTGGTCTACAAAGTGAGTTCCAGGCCAGCTGGGGCTATAGGGACCCCGTCTCAAAAAAAAAAAAAGACAAAAAAAACAAAAACAAAAACCAACAAGAACTGTTAGGTGAGGGGAAGGGGGGGTCACACCTTTCTGTCCCCAGAGTGTCAAAATTGTTTTTACATATGGATGTCCAGTTTTTCCAGCATCATTTGTTGAATTGCTTTTGTGTTTTTGCTAACAGAAGGGTCACAGCCAACACTCCTGTAATAAAAGACAAGTTAACAAGAGAGAAGCTTGGCAGACCTATTTCACCAAAGTTTTATATGACACAGAAACTTTCAGAAATGAGGACCTAGAGTCCCAGGAAAACCTGCATTTAAATTTTTTTATTCATTTATTCATTTTTTTTTT